AAGGAAAATCAGGCAGATGGTACTGGGTCCCAGGATAAGAATGCCCATGTAGAAATGGTGCCCAGGTTGGTGCCATGGAAAGTCAAAGTTAAAGGGAGGTGAAGAAAGGGAGGTGAAGCTAGGAATCTCCCAAAATCAGTCAACCTATAGTGTGAAGAGTGCAGGAGCTCTGGCGTGTGGATGGGTGCTTGGGAGAAAAACAGAGAAAGAAGATGACTAATGATTTTCCAATTCCATAGGGCCCAGCAATATTTCCTACAATTAAGTTTATGAGATTCCTTGTATCCTTATGAGTCTATTTTCACTTAAGCCACTTTGAATAAGTTTTCTATTACTTATACTCTAATAAGGCCTAAAATGAGTCTCTAATCATATACTTATGTTTTGGCTAATGTACTAATAATGAGCCAAATGACAATACATCAGATGGGCTATTAATTGGTTGAAAAAACATATCGAGGAAATAAGGTTTATTGATAGATACCTAGAATGGATTCCAAATGTGCCTTCATTGCTGAGGCGTTCAAAAGTCTTGTCAATGATGAGAATGTTCCATGAAAGTTGGTATCATGACCACCTTATAAAATGCCACATTTATCACAAAGTTTAGCAGAGAGTAGGTGTGTGGTAAAAAAAAATTGTTAAGTGATTGAAAACATAGATTTTTGCAGATAAAAAGAATCCAAGAAAGATTTTGAAGAATGAGAGAATTAGGAGTTAGCATGGTAAAATGATTTTGTTTTATAGTAACAAATGAAAATTTCTGGAAATGAGTCCAAAACACCAACAATACATCTTAGGAGCATGTTGAACAAAGAAATCTAGGGGGAAGCCCCGGTGGTGCAGTGGTTTAGCGCCACCTGCAATCCAGGGCGTGATCCTGGAGGTCCTGGATCAAGTCCCACGTCAGGCTCTCTGTATGATGCCTGCTTCTCCCTCTGCCTGTGTCTCTGCCTCTCTCTCTCTCTGTCTCTATGAATAAATAAATAAAATCTAAAAAAAAAAAAGAAATCTAGGAGTGTTCCTCAGTTGTGGGCTCAAGCATCAAGAGCAAGACGATGAATGTACACAGGAATTCATGAAACTTAGGCTACATTAATGAAGGTATAATGTTTGAAGAAGATGCTGGTCCTTCTCCAGTCAAACCACAGATGGAATATCACACTCTCCTCTGCATGCCACTTTTCAATAGCAACACACAAACTAGAGTACATATTGGTAGGGACCAGAATGGCAAAGTGCCTCAAAAGGTATGGGATGAATAACCTGCAAAATTACAAACTTAGAGCAGACCGCATGGTGAAAGAAGGCAGCCTTCAAACTTCTGAACAGTTATCATCAGAAAGAAGGTGACTATTAAATCTCTCCCAGGAGAGGAAAGACTAAGACCCATGGATGTAATCTATAGGCTTTCTATTAACAAACTATTGAGCTAGAACCTATCTTCAACCACTCATTACCTTGGTACTAGCTATACTGTGCTGAACAAAGTACACAGTCTCAGCCCTTATGGAACTTACGATTTATCTTTTTTTAAGATTTTATTTATTTATTTAAATGTATTTTATAGAGACAGAGATAAAGAGAGCATGTGCACATGTGAGTGGGGTGAGGAGCAGAGGGGGAAAGAATCTCCAACAGACTCGCACTGAGCATGGAACCCAGCCAGGGGTGTGGTGGAGAGCTTGATCTCACGACCCTGAGACCATGACCTGAGCTGAAACCAAGTGTGTTAAGTATCAGTCACTTAACCAACTAAGCCACCCAAACACCAGAACTTAATATTTAATATGGATATTGGCATCAAACAAGAAATTATGATTTAAGGTATAAAAAAGGCTTTGAAGGACAAGCAGAAGGTGTAGTCAGATTTCCCTGAGGTTTTAGGAAATTATTTGTTTTGATTTCATTTTTGTTTTATATTATTCCTGTTTTGTTTAACAGTTTAAGGAATTGGAAAGCAATGTTGCTGAGGCCTTATGAGTAAATGCGGGAATAGCAAATAATTGGGAGACCAATTAAGATGCTAGAGCAGAGGACCAGGGAAAAGATATTGAGTACTGGGTCAAACTAGGGGTGATGGCAATGCAGATCGAGAGAAGTAATTGTATTTAAGATATACTTTGGAGGGAAAATCCAAATGACTTGAGGATATATTGGACAGATGCAATACTCTTTAATTCACACTCTTTGATATTTTCTTATCATCCGGACAAAAACTGGTCTAAAACATTTCATAGTATCTGTAAAGAAAGTGTTTACTGAGTCAATGAGACAAATTTGGAGGAAAGGGATTTGAAGGGGATATTTAACCTCCTTCAGAGAATAAATATTTTTAAGGGCTTAGGTAAATGCCATCATTAAAGTAGACTCACAGGATCTCTATAATTTGAAATAAATTTCTGAAGCTCAGGCTTCTCACAGATCCAAATGAGTCTTTATCCCCAATCGCTTATTCATTCAAAAACTTTTATTTAACATTTCAAATATGCAAGAAGCTGTGTGGGTTGCAAAGATGAATCAGGAAAGGGCTTGTACAAAAGTAACAGGAACACAGAATATGTCCTAACTCAGGGTCCCTACAACAAGTACAAACTAAATGATCTAGGGAAACAGTGGAGGTTTTATTTGTTCTGTGCCTTGAAAGATAAGGCAAGGGTGAGGGCGTTCAGAAGTAATGAGAGAGGCAAGCAGTGAGAAGGTTAAGAAGATGGGCTGGATCAGTAAGAATGTTAAAATGCAAGTGGTAATAACTAGAAAAATATTAGTGAAGAGTTTAGTGAAAGAAAATATGAAAAATAGAATTTTCTCTCCCAAATGTACCTTAAGTGTCACATATTCATTCAAAATACAGCACAATGGGATCTCAGAAGGCAGACTCTCCAATCCCACTGGTTTTCATTATTGCCTTGCTATGTCTCTTGGCCATATGAGCCAGGACCTGGGACTTCAGTGACCTTTCTGCCATGGCAAAAACACAAAAAAATATTGATCTAACATCCAGATTTTTATCATTAGACTTTGTTTCCACTTCAATTTTCTTTTAAACTTTGAGCGATATTGTTCCTTTATAATTAAGCTCTGAGGTCATCCACACCCATGGAAGGGCCATTTCCAACCAGGCTACCAAGATGCCAAGCAAGCCCACAGGCCTTTACCTGGGACACACGTATTGAAGGCTTTCCTGAGTTTCCTCATGTCTTTTTTTTCTTCCATTAATCCCAATTAAGGCTGCATACTTCCAAGGAAGACGTGAGGAGAGTCAGCTCTGGGGATTCTGTGTCCAAAAAGGGTCAAGGAAATGTGGGATCGATGGTTACACACAGAGAAAAGCAGCAGTACACATCTTTCTCGCTGCCAAGAGAACTATTCAACAGCCTTTTATCCAGAAAAAAAAATCATAATTTTTTTCAAGAGACATTCTCCCATAATAAGACATTCTTTCTTTAAAAACGTCTTTACTTTATTAGTCAATTGTTGGTAAATATTGACTTTATTAGTTAATTGTTGGTAGATATTTCTTTTGAACTACTTTTTTCCCAGTAGCAATAAGGGAATTGAAATGATCTATCTATCCATTCTTACCTCACTGCCTAATCCTATCACTTAGAAAAAAATGACTGAGAATTAAGAATAACTAGGACTAAACCTACACAAGGCACTATTGCTCTTTACTCACCTGAGTTTTCCAGCCTTGATAATTAGGAAACGACAGTCAAGAGCCTCAAGTCACAGCCAGCAATCAATCAGCTGTCTCTAGTAGCTTTGTCTTTTTGCCAAAGACGTCACCATTTGGTCCTAGGATACTCACTACCTTCAGTGCCCTCGAGGGCCACCTCAGGAGCTTCCCACACTGAAGGGTGGTTTATTTAACCTGGCACAGCAAGTACCAGCAAAAGATGGTGAGGCTCACAGAGTACAACCACCTGTCACTTCTTATTAGACATTTCACATTGGAGATTTGTTTTGATAAAGGGCATCGATGCTACTTACGTCGGATAATTGAATTGGAATTAAAATACCATTGTTCCTATTATTGAGAAACATAATTATTAGCATTAAAATAGGCTCATCCCCAAATTAAATTATTTCTAGACATTCTGTGAGGCTGTCACTCAGAGCTGTCCTTGTCAGACCCACCCACTCCCAGTGTCTCTTCCACTTCTGCTCTGCTGAGAGCCCCATTCTGGGTGGACAGAGGAATGCCACACTCACACGGGCTGGCGGAGGACAGAACTCGGAGCAGAGACCTAAGAGCTACTGTACGCTCTTCCCTGGATGCACCACCAGGCCCAAAAAGAACCCCTGTAAAGATGGACTAATAACCCATGCAACCTCTCTGGAGGATTTTATCACTGGAAAAAAATTCATAAAAAGCTGAAGGGATAGTAAAAACAACTGTCCTAAAGTGTTTCTCCATACTAACCTCAGGTCAAAATGCTCCAGGGGGACACTTGAACGTGAGGAATACAGTCTTTCTCTACTCCACCTGCCGGCTGGTGTCTTCCCAGGACAGCACCACTCACCATAAGACCCCCTTCTCTGAGTTCCTAGCGCAGATGTTTGCACCATTCATTACTACTTTGTCAACCTCTCTAGAACCATTCCGTGGAACTATTGCTCACTTCTCCCACTGGTATTCCACTTTCACATATATCAATGACTTTTTACTCCTGGTAAGAATATAAGACGTGAGGTTAGGACCTTGGTTACTGTGCTTCTGCTTCACCCACAGAACCTATCACAGAATAGGTAGGTATACAATACGTACCTACTACTTGATTAGCAAGAATGGTGGTAGAAGAATCACTGAACCAAGAGAGTGACTTTATACAGCACATGGTGCTGCCACACAAATGGAGTTCAGTATAATTGAATATGAAGCCACACAAAAAGCATAAATCAAGGCAAGGTATAATCCATTTTTAATTTTTTAAAAAAGCAAATGATAATACCCCATGGGGCCTGAAGAACTCGGGATTAATGCACTGAAAAGTCAGCAGAGGAGCCCGATGAAGTGCTCAGGATCAACATCAAAAATATTTCCGTAGTGAACATTTTTGAATGCCGGCATTGTCTTTCTGCAGGACACACGATCCATGCTCCTGATCCCCCTGCTCGGCAATCAGACCATAAGAGTCCCACATCTGGATTCCTGTGGAAATGAAGCATGTGCTGGAAACACATAAGGAGAAAACCAGGGTGACTTTTTTTGGACTTGATCTGCTATTTATTTCCAGGATAAGTTTATTAGTATCAACCAGAAATAAAACTATTAAATAAAAATAGAGGCCAATGTGGAAGCTTTTAAATAGACTGCAAGTTTAGAAAGGCACCCTCCTTTTAGGACAATTCTGACTTGATCCTCACTTAGATCCCACTTATGTCCATCATTTCAGTTAGCTGGCCAACACACCTAAGTGGTCAATGCATTAGCAAGTGTGCACATGAAAGTTCCATCTGCACGAATGGTATCAGCTCCTTTCTTCCCCCCATCCCCACTCATTGATAGACGCTGAGGACCTGCAGCCTACATGCTCAGCTCCACTTACTTCCCCCTATGTAAACCTGTTGGATAAAGTAATGCAGTGGACGAGTCCACGCTTTTGGATTGGACAGAGTTGGGTTTAAATTCCAGGTCCTTCCTCTGCTAGCTGTGAGTACAAAGGAAGGTTGGGTGACACCTAAGCCTGAGCTTTGAAATGGAAATAATAATAAATTCTCACTGTTTTTTTTTTTTTTTGAAGGTCCAACAGGTGCTCAATACATGTTAATTCCCCTTGGCCATCCTCGCCAGGCCTCTGCCCCTAGGAGCTGGACCCCTATGTCCATAGCGTCTACCACTAGAAGGACTCCTGCCCTAAATCACTAACCACAGGAACCAAGATCCACTTATTACCCTGCCTCCAAATGCCACCCCAGCCTGAAGTTACCTGCTGACATTCTCTGTCCACCAGACCGGACTCATTTCAATGGATGCAAGCCCAAATATAGTTCAAAATCAGCACATTACTTTGAGGAACTGTAATTTGGAGTTCTAGCCAACACCATCCTACCCCAGCCACACCCAACTTCACTTCCCCTGCCACTGAACCATGCCCAAGTCCCAGAGCAGCTTCCTAGAGAGTCTTCAGTGAGAGATCCATTTCAAGGCTAGAGAAAGAAAATATGCATCTCATTTGCATCATTTGACTTAAAGTCTAAAAGTCCTTTATTACATTGTTTTGTTGTATTAAAAAGCCCTAGTCAGAAAAAAATAAATATAAATATTATATAAGGAGAGGAAACAGTTACATAAGAAGCCATCCAAACTCTGTCTCATTAAGAGACGCTATAAAAATCCATGGTTAAGTGCAGCTATTTATGAGCCAAGCTGTGTAGGTTTGAAACCTGAAACTGTTGTGTCATTTGGGACCATTTGCTTAATCCCTCTGTGCCTCAATTTCCTCATCTGTAAAATGAGGATAGTAATAGCACCTACCTCATAATGATGTTGTTAGTATTAAATAAATTAATGCATTTAAAGCACGTGAAACCATGCTCGCCACATGGTGAGTGGTAGTGTTGCCTGGTACTCCTAACTGCAGAGGCAGTTTTCAGTTGATGGACATCATCAGATTTAGAGGGAATTCATACCAATCCCAAATTGTGCAGTATAGACAATTCTCAGGGGCGGGGTCTGTTATGAGTTCAACTGTGTCCTCCTCAATATCCATATGTCTGAGTCCTAACCTCCAGTACCTTAGAATGTGCCTTATTTGAAAATGTAGTTAGCTGGTATTTGCTGTGAAGTCGTACCTGAGCAGGGTGGGCTCCTAACCCAGCATGACTCGTGTTGTTATAAAAAGGGGAAATTTGCAGACACATACAAAGGGAGGATGTCATGTGAAGATGAATGTAGAGAATAGGGTGATACTCCTAAAAACTTAAGAGCACCAAAGATCGCCAACAAACCACAGAAGCTAGGAATAGGGCATGGGGCAGTCCTCAGAAGGAACCAGCATGGCCAATGAACAGATTGCTAACCTCCAGAACCAGGAGACAATAGATTTCTGTTGTTTAAATCACCAAATTTGTGGTACTTTGTTACGGCAGCCATAGCAAACAAATAGAGACACAGATCCAGATGTCAATTTGGGATGAGGTCAGCCAAGGAAGAGCTGCTCGTTGAGCACCCCAGGACAACTGTGCTGTGTTAGCAGGGGAGGGGCTGTCTAAGGCACAATCTCTGTCTGTGTTCAGGACCAACAATGTCACTGAGGAGGCATGCCTGCGCATGCACACACACACACACACACACACACACACACACATACACACACACCATTGTATAATCAATGTCCAACGAGCCATAGGACAATCAGTGTTCCAAGAGCTCAGAACTAAATAGTCAAAAAAAGGCTCTATCTAGTAAGGTCCCAAACGCATTCCAGCACTTGGGTAGAAATAGTTAAATTCCTACAAACTTTCCTAAAGCCAAGAAATCCATCCTCAAGGATCTTGCATGCCCCTTTCCACACTGTCTCTAATTCTAGCTGCGCCTTTCTCAGCACATCCTTTGGGGTGTATCTCTCCAACCCACAGTCGCTCTCACACACATGTGCAATTCCTCCCCTTTTGTTCCTTCAACTTTCCTTGCAAAAGATGCTTCACAGCAACAATCCCATTAGCTTTACAAATGCTGTTTGGAAACCCAAGCAGAGCCATTGCTTTCTCCGGTGGTGGGGAATTTGGTACTCCAAGTGATTTTTTTCATCCCAATTTCAGGGTCACGCTGCTCGGATATACAAAGTGGGGAGAGGAAGATGAGTGGGAGAAAATCTTCCCCCAACAGAAGTGTGCAGCTTTCCCTGGAAGGCACTAACACCACAACAAACAAACATATAAATAATAAATATTCTTTTACTAAAATGATAAGTCTCACTTCAGTAAGCAACACATTATGCACCATACTGGTGTAATAAAGCGCACATCCCCTTGAATCATTCCCACTAATACAATGTATTCAGTGCTCATATGATTACACTTTTACAGCCTGTTAGCAAAAACACATACAATTGCAAAGTGCCGCTAATGCAATGTGACAGAGTTCTGTTATTACAAGAAGAAGTTGTCAGCACCGAGCAATTGATTTTCCTTCATCTCCTTCCTGCCTCTGCCCGTCCTCCCCACCTCTCCTGGAGATGTTTATTTTGTACCCTGGGTGCAGTCCTTTCTCTGAATCAATTCTGATATAACGTAGAGAAGGAATATGAAGACAATGGGAAAAAATTAACACTAATCTAGGTATTCTAAGGGGAAAAAGCTTCCTTTAGGGACATTTTCCTCTGAAAGTCTTTATTGAAGCTCCAAGAACCGTGGCTCCCTTCCCGCAGCACAACAATCTGGTCTTTTTGTTCTTTTATGCCATGTCTATGTATTTTCCCCTTATCGTCCCTTCCTTCTCATAAAATAAAATACAGGTGGCTTTAAGGTATGAGGACTCCTACATCCTAACTGATTCACTTCCACGCGTTTTGAATAGCAGTGGAGGGGAAAATAAATAAGGAACACAGGAAGCCAAAGAGAATAAATATTTGATTATTTCTCGGTTAATAGTTTCCTTGTAAATGTTTGCCTTTATTCACAAGGTGACCATAGATAGATTAAACAATGATACTTTCTGAAGATGAAAAGAAATCTATGTCTAGCACCAGTAACTTAATCCAGAGTCATGGAACAGCACAACTGGATAGCCCTTTCAATAGAGATTGTCAAGTTCAATGTAATTATTTTACAGGTGAGAAATCCAAACTCCAAAAGTTAAGGAATTTATCCAGGTTCTCATCGCCTCGTTAGTGTTAGAGCTGAATCTAGAAGTAGTCGTCTTTTGCTGATCTACTATACTGTGCCTTTAAGTGTAACACACATACATCAATATATGTGTTACTGAATTACCAGATGGCCCTTAACACCTCCATTTTCTGTGTCTTGCTTATGATAGAACAGGAAAGTTTCACTTGTCAATGTAGGTGTGAGGGAGAATAGACAAGTTCATGAAAATTGCTTGATGGCCTTCTGAAAGAGCAAGTTTCCAGAGGAAACATTAAAATATCTTGATTTATAGATTTCATCTTGGGGGGGTTACACCTTCCTAGGATACAAAAAAAGGGCTATTTCTTCCTTACCCTGTTTAAAACGTATAATTCCCACATCTTCCTCTTCCCGCCCCACCTCATTAAGTGGATGCACCCTTTATTGGCTCCTAACATAAATGCTGACACCTCTTCTTTTGCTCAGCAGGATCTCATTTTACGTGCCCTTGAATATCTAAGAGACACACAGAGTATGGGTTATAGCAAGATCTCCAGGCATTATTGTACATTAATATGATGGAAAGTTAAAGCCTCAGCCAGTTGGATTTTGACTCACTGGAGCAGTTGAGCCTGTGGCTCTGGCTACACTTCTCATTTTTAAAAATTGACCGCAGAGTTTGGGACCTTTCATCTTGACGATAACTCAAGGTATTCCCATGTGTGAATAGAGAGTATAGGAGCGGTATTGTTAATCTGATTTTGGTTTTGGTTTATGATGCCAACTAGCAAAAATTCATGGGTAAAAAGCATTTAGTTTGGGCCAAAAATTATCTGTGATGAGTAAGGGCTTGTAGATACAGTCTCTGTTTGAGAAAAACCACTCTCCATGGCCTCACGCTCCTGAGGTATGCATACTAAGAAACAAACACAGAAAGAAAGAAGGGCTGACCTCACATAATATAATGTAGCAAACTTTTGGAGGCACTGGTCTGTTGTGATAGAAGTGGCCTTGGGCAACTTTATAGGGCTCAGGGGGACTCAGTTGGTAATGTACCCCCCCATCATTGTTACTCCCCTTCCTCCAATTAACATCATTGCCTGATGCCTCTACCTAAAACCCCCTTTTTTTAAATTTTTTTTAAATTTATTTATTCATGATAGTCAGAGAGAGAGAGAGAGAGAGAGGCAGAGACACAGGCAGAGGGAGAAGCAGGCTCCATGCACTGGGAGCCCGACGTGGGATTCGATCCCGGGTCTCCAGGATCACGCCCTGGGCCAAAGGCAGGCGCCAAACCGCTGCGCCACCCAGGGATCCCAAAACCCCTTTCAATAGTATTCTTTGCTTTCTTCTTTCCACATCACAACTACCATGTCCGATTT